GAGGGTTAGAAGGGACCTCTGGAGATCATCCAGTCCAACCCTTCTGCTGGAGCAGGATCCCCCAGAGCAGATCACACAGGAACATGTCCAGGCTGGCTGGGAATGTCTCCAGGGATGGAGACTCCACAGCTTCCCTGGGCAGCCTGTTCCAGGGCTCTGGTCCCCTCAGAGGGATGAAGTGTTTTCTCAGATTCAGGTTCAACCTCCTGTGCCCCAGTTTGTGCCCATTGCCCCTTGTCCTGGACACCCCTGAGCAGAGTCTGGCCCATCCTGCTGACACCCCTGGAGATATTGATCAGCACTGATGAGCTCCCCCCTCAGCCTCCTTTTCTCCCAGCTGAGCAGCCCCAGCTCTCCCAGCCTCTCCTCACAGGCAGATGCTCCAGTCCCTTCATCATCTCAGTGTCCCTGTGCTGGACTTTCCCCAGCAGCTCCTTGTCCTTGAACTGGGGAGCCCAGACCTGCTCCCAGGGATCCAGATGGAGCCTCAGGAGAACCTCCCTGACCTGCTGCCCACACTCTTCTTGATGCCCCCCAGTTCAACAGCTGTCCTTGAAGATTGCAGGCTGGGTTTGCAGAGCTGCCAGCTGCTGAATAGCTTGGGTTTTGCTTGGTTTTAATCTTCTGGAAGCAGAGCAGCTGGAAGGGAACACACTGCAGTGCCTTGTTTGCCCTGTCACCTTGGCATGACATGAATTCCTCAGGTGCTTGTCACCCTGTGTTGGGTAGCACAGTCTTAAAACTGTGTTCACTGGGCCAGACTGGGGTGCAGACACCTTCATTGCTGTCAGGTGGAAAAGCTGTGCTTGGAGGAGTTTGTTTATTGTAATGGGGACATCCTGGTTGGCAGTTTAAAAGGTACAGGGGGTGTTTTTTTTATTTATAGCAGGCTGGGCTGAACACCTGATGGTGATACTGACATTAACACAAGCCTTGTTTGTTTGTTTCTTTTTTCTTCTATGGAACACAGATTTACTCAGGAGCTTAAATTAAAGATTCAGAAAGATGCCAGAGATCATCAATTTAAAAAAAAGCCAAAAATCAGCAAAAGGGACAAAGATGACATATCAGAAGAAAGAAAAATACTTGGTGTCCAGGTTGGTCCATCTTTGGTTTCCCATTTGTTTCAATCCTTTTCCATTTTTTCGTTTTTCTTTCTGTGTTGGGCTCTCTCCAGTAGTTCCTTACCCTTGTTAGGCCCCTTGCTGGGGAGCTACATGGTGGTGCAGCTCCTGGCAAACCTGGAGCTGAAGGGAGAACAGGTGGGGAAACATGTTGCATCACCAAAAGGTGCTTCTGTGCTGTTGGGTCCCTGTGTGAAAGGCCTGTCTCCCAGATGACATCTTCTGCTTTCAGTCAGCTACTCAGGAGGGCAGGTTTCAGGGTGACTTAGAGGTGACATTGGGCCCAGTTGTATTTCATTTCTTCTGGGAGAAAGGATGTGGTGGTTCTTCCTCCATCATTTCCAGCCCCATTCCAAATGACTTCTTTACAGAGGGTGCTGCAACCCTAACAAGTCTCCTCCTGTTTGCTGGAGAAGAGAGGTTTTCTGCTAAAAACAATTCCATCTCCATCAGATCCTTCCAGAATCATGCAGGTTTAGGCTCTGGCTTCTTTCCCTGCTGCTCCAAGCTCCTTTTTCAACAGGACTGTGAGACTTAAGATGTTTCTCTTCTGCAACAGGAGTTCAGCATTGACCCGAAGAGCAGGGATAGGAAGCCCTTGAAGGCCAAGCACTCTAAAGCTGATGCAGAGAAAGCAGAGAGGTCCTCCAACCTGAGCTCCCTCCTTGACACTGCCATCAACCCCTTGAAAATAAGTCCTCACACCAGCCTGAAAGATTCCAGCAGCAGCTTGGACTACACCAAGAATGCAGGCATTGTTATCCCTCCCATCAACCAGAACTTTTCTCCCACTACAGCTGGGATGGGGCCTGTGCCTGGGAACCTTAATTTCAGGTATGGGAGCAGAGCTAGAAGAGCTTCCACATCCCTGTTGCTGTGGAGCTGTAGGGTCTTGAGAGAGGTGCAGGGTGATGTGGGAACATGAGGTGTGGGTTTGGGACAGGACATGGCAAGGGAGAGCTCTTGGAGGAGGATTGTATGTGGATCAGAAAGCCCAGCTTCACCTCAGTCAGCTGTGTCCACATAGGCACAGGGTCTCTTGGCTTCCACATTGGGCAAAGCCCTATTGGACAGCCAAGGTGTGACAGCTGCTGTGACCCTGGCCTTTCTGGGACTCAGGACTTGTCCTTTGGACCAAACTGCTCTGTTAGCTGAGCTCACAAAGGATATTCTCCTCATTGGCCTTCCTTCTGATCATTTAATCATTGGTTTGGGTTGGAAGGGACCTTAAGATCATGGAGATCCAACCCCCCTGCATGGGCAGGGACACCTCCCACCAGCCCAGGCTGCTCCAAGCCCCATCCAACCTGCCCTTCAACACTGCCAGGGATGGGGCAGCCACAGCTTCTCTGGGCAACCTGGGCCAGGCTCTCACCACCCTCACAGGGAAGAATTCCTTCCTGATGTCTCACCTCAATCTCCCTCTTCCAGTTTTAATCCATCCCCCCTTGTCTGCTCCCTCCCTGCCCTTGTCCCAAGCCCCTCCCCAGCTTTCCTGGAGCCCCTTCAGGCACTGGAAGCTGCTCTCAGGTCTCCCTGGAGCCTTCTCTTCTCCAGGCTGAACACCCCAACTCTCCCAGCCTGGCTCCAGAGCAGAGCTGCTCCAGCCCTCCCATCATTTCTGTGGCCTCATCTGGCCTCTCTCCAACAGCTCCATGTCCTTCCTGTGTTGGGGGCTCCAGAATCAGATGCAGCATTTCTTGGATGTCTTGCATTTTTTGGTTTGATATTTGCTGTGTTACCCCAGTTAATACAAAGTTTGGGATGTTTTTGATTACAGAGTTGATGAAAAGAGTAAAAAATACTTGAACCCATTCCTGAGGACACAGAAGAATTCTCCAGCAGGGCATTACAGTGTCAGCCTGACATCAGTGAGTCATCTGTCCTTCCTCTTTCAGAACTCAAGTATGAGTTTGATTGTCAAGAATCTCATCTGTTGCAACCTTTCCCTTAACTCCCAATTAGAAATACTCTTCTCTGCCCCCTTTTTTTTTTTCCTGTGGTGTCTCTTACCCTTTGCTAATGGTCATAGGAAACGTAGTTTGTGTCAGGGGGGCAGTTTAAAATGAGAGGAACAGTCCAACTCAGGATGTCTGTGAGATGTAGAGTGTATCCATGGCCAGGAGAAGCAGGCTGTGGCTGCTGTGCTACTGCTACAGGATTGAGGATGTGGATTTAACACAGTCAGGGCCTTATTTATTCATGTCATAAAAGCATGAAAAAACGATCCTGAAAACAAGTGAAATGGAAAGCTTTGCACTGCACACACTACCCAGGCAATATTCTTTCCCTGCCAGCAGGAACATTTGTCTTTTTACAGGTAACTAAGCTGAGTCTTTCTCCAAGTGTGGTATTTTCTCTCACTTGGGTGGTTGGGTTTTTTGGCTGTGGCTCTTCTGTTGTTTTTCATGTATCAATGTGTCAACATTTCATGTATCAATGACACTGGAGCCGAGTGACGCCCTTCACATGCTGTAGAGTCTTTTGCTTAAGTTCCTGCTGGAGGCAAACCTTCCTAAGGTGATACACTGAAGCTTGAAAATAGCATCTTCCTGAGCTGGTGCTTATGCCCTTGGTCACAGGTCACTAATGAAAAGAACATCCTGGAGGCAAACAGGAAAAGATGGGAATTCTCCAAGACCGACGTGCGTTTGCCAGAGCTGAATCACCTCCCTGAGCTGAGAGGAGTGGAAGGTGGGAGCTTTGATGTCCTCTTCAAATCAAACCTGGGTGCTGAATGAGAGGCAGGAAGCTGGGTGCCCTGCAGCAGTGTGACATGCTGTGTGTGGGATGTGTTTTGCAGCTTGGCATCCCAGGTTCCTGAAGAAGGAGAATAAAACAGCTGCAGAGTCCCGTGTCCCCTCCCTTGCTGCTATTGAGCTCCATAACCCCAGTCTGGCCTCACAGCAGGTAACAAAGCAATGAGATAGTTGGTGCTGCTCTGTTGTTCTCTACAACAACCTGAAAGGAGGATGTAGGGAGGTGGGAGTTGGGCTCTTCTCCCCAGTGAATAATGGCAGGGCAGAGGAAATGGCCTGAAGCTGCACCAGGGGAGGTTTAGACTGGAGATTACAAAGAGTTTCTTTATCCCAAGAGTGGTTGGACAGTGGAACAGGCTGCCCAGGGAGGTGGTGGAGTCACCATCCCTGGAAGTGTTTGAAAGGAATGTAGATATAGTGCTTGGGGACATGATTTCAGCAATGAAGTGGTAAAGTATGTTAATGGGAGGGGGATTTAGGTTATGGTTGGACTTGATGGTCTTCAAGATCCCTTCCAGACAGGATGATTCTAGGACTATGATCTGTTTGGTTCAGTGCTTTCTGGACAGCATGACCCACAGATTTCCAGTGTGGCTCCTGATAGGAGCAGAACTTTTCTTGGTTTCTTAACTGTTGGAGTAAAAAGGGTCTGAGGCCTCATGCTGGGGGAGAAGAGAGCTCAGGAGGAAACACAGAGCTTTATTTGTCTTTCTGAGGTCAGCTAAATACTAGATTCTCACTGCCAAGGCTGACACCAGGAACTGTTGCTGGCTGGATCAAGGTGGAAGTCAACCTGATGGACCAGACTTGAAGAGAGACAGGAAGAACAGGTGTTTTGGGGAGAGAAGGGGAAAACTTGTAGCTCTCCTAAAGATCAGTAACTCTGAGCTGTTGTTTAACAAGGAAGTAATTCCACAGGCAGGCCCTTTGGCTGCCTTTGCTTCCAGCTGATATTAGGCAGACTGTATTGGACGGAGTGGGAGGAAGCATTTTTTAAGTCTGATTTGATCAAATAGAAGATTTGGTTTCAGTTTTAGTTGGAAATTGACCATCTTTGTTGTTGATTTTGTTTTTTTTCCTTTCCCAATTTACAGCTGTCAGGGACCTTAATGCCTGATCCAGCAGAATCCAGCTTCCCCAGGGTGGAGCACTAACCTTATGGAGAAGATCACACCTGTCTGCAAAAGGTAGGCTCTAAATTCTGTAGTGGAGCCTTCTGGTGGCTTCTCATTTCTGTTGTGTAGCCTGGGATCTTTGAAATGGAGTGTTTCATGTACACTTCCCTGGTTGAGGGGGGCAGGGGGAGGGTAATTTTACACTTCACCTTCTGTGTTAGGGCATTTAGATGGGACAGGCTTCTTCCAGAGGGCACCAGGCAGCTTTTTCTGCAAATACTGAAGCTGCCTCAGGAGGTGCTGGAAAGGAGGCAGCTCCTGAAGTTGAGCAAGCTGAGAGTAACAAAGAAGGGGGAACCTTCACGTGAGAAGGGGAAGAAACAGGTTGTGTGTACAGCTCTGTCAAGTGCATCACAGGAAACGGGCTGGCAAGGAGGGAGAAGAGTGGGTTTGGGGTGCTTGTCAAGCTTCACAGGAGGGAAAGGTTTTAGTAACTGTGTCATTGAATCACAGAATGGTTTGGGTTGGAAGGAACCTTCAGGATCATCTCATTCCAACCCCCTGCGTGGGCAGGGACACCTCCACCAGCCCAGGTTGCTCCAAGTCCCATCCAACCTGCCCTTGTCATGCAATCTACAATTCTTGAATGTAGCTGTTGATACCTCAGTGCTTTTCAAGCAGGAGGGAGGAGTCTGGGAGGGAAGGAGGCTCAGGAACAGTCCTGGCTGCATGGTTGGCTTGTAGTCCTGAGACTAAAGTGCCAAGTTCAAACTCTGCTGCTGTCTCCTCTTGGAAGTGAGAACTGCAGTGCTTGGCTGGGGGGTTTCACTCTCACCATCAATCCCCTTTTACTCCCAAGTCTCACTGGCTCTATTGGAGCTTTGTGTCCTGCAGAGAGGGGCTTTACTCAACGTTCTGGGTGCACTGGTGCTGCCAGCTTGGGCCTGCTCCCATCCCTGCTGCCCTGGGGGTTCTCCCTGTGGCCACAGGGGCCACCAGGCACTCATCAAAGCTGGTGACAGCCACAGACGTGGCCTGGTGATACTGTCCAGGTGCAGGGGCAAACTGTGCCTCTTCATTTGTGTCTTTTGGGCTCTGGTGTTTCCTTTTTGAGGAGAGGGAGCAGCTGCTGACTCTGAAATCTCTGCACCAATCCTGCACGTGCTCTGAATCTGTACGAGTTCATTTGTCACTTCAGTTCATGTGATTTGGTGGCTTATGGCCAGTTAGGAGTAGAGAAGAAAAGCCACTGGGATGGGGAGCAACCTTGGTGACAGAAGTGAGGGAGGAGGGAAGAAATCTTTCTCAAGTGGTCTCATCTGTGAAGCACCAGAGGTGCTTCAGCAGAGTTAAGGAGGGGTGATCACTCAAAGCCAAGGAAGCACATCACCAGGGAGCACCTCTGTGCTTTGCTTGCCTTGTCCATAACACCCTTTTCTGCTTTTCCCTCCTGGATGCAGGTGGCTGAAACAGAGGGAAAAATCCTCCTGAGCTCCCAGGTGCTAAAGCTGCAAGGTCCCTGCAGGAGGGAGGAGGATCCCTCCCTCTCCAGTTAGCAGAGTGAACTGCCATGGGAAGTGGCTGAGGCCAGAGCTCCTGCTGCCACTGCTGCTGATTCCTTGCATGCAGAACTGCTCCTGAAATGGTGATGTTGTGGCCCAGGGCCTGGGCTGGTCTGAGGCTGCTCAGGGAGAAAAAAATAAGTGGTTCTTGGTGTGTGACAAGGGCAGAAGGTGGTTTGGAGGGGTTTTTGAAGGGAGCTGGACTTCCCTTTTTGTCTTAACTGCTGCCCTCGTGAGGCTTTGCTTGCTAAATGAGTAGTGCAAGAGTAGATGATCTGCTGAGTTTGCCAAGTTTTGCTGGGCTGCCTGACCTAGGTGGGAAAGCACCTTTGCCTTGACAAAAAAACCTGGGTGCAGAAAACACCTGTGCAAGCAACACCACGTTTGAGTGTGTCCATGTCCCCCCAGCTGTTCCTCTTGGCACCCCTGCTCACGCCCAGCAGCAGGTCTGAGCTGCTGGTAGGTCCCTCTTCCTTCCCCTGCTTGTCCTCCCTGCCTCTGGGAGGTTGTATTTAAGTGTTGAGCTGGGCCTGGTACTGGTGAAAGCTGGAAAGCCCCAAGGTGATGATGCAGGTGGCCTGGCCAGGGGCTCCTGTGGCTGCTCAGCCACCCTCTGAAGTCCTTTAGGTCCCTCTTGGGGGTGGGACATCTCAGTGTGCCCCTCGACAGTGCCTTGTGGAGAGAGAAAAAGGGCATCACTGTCATCTTGGGGCTGTTAGGAGACTGGTTTTGCTTAACTCCCCTCCAATTGGGGGCAGGCAGTTCTGTGGGGTCCCAGTGTTGGTCACAGCCCCCCGTTCCTGCCAGCTGGAGGCTGCTGTCACAGCTGACACCCCTCCTCTCAGGGTGGAGGTACCTTTGGAACTAGTCTTGCCACTCCTGGGGGCAGGAGTACCCGTGTCATGGTGTGCAGAGCTTCCTGGCTGGGCAGTGTTGTGATGTCTTATGTTGAAATTTGTAAATAAAGGGATCTCCAGGTGCCCTGGTGCTGTGTGTGCTTGCCAAGGCAGGGTGTGCTCACGTGGTCTCCCCTGGACTTGCTGGTGTCACCTCCTCCAATTTCCTACTGGTGGCACTGGAGAACTTTGAATCCATTTCTCTGGAAGGGTTGACATCACCTTCCTTGCAGCACCAGCCAAGCAGAGGTGCCTGGTGTCCCTCAGCAGCATCCAGACAGCAGGGAGCCACCCTGCTCATCCCGGGTGCCCTTCACCTGATTTTTCCCACCTTCCTGCTTTTGGGCCACAGAAGTCCTTGAGCTGGCCAGGAGCAACCAAGACAACAACCCCAGGCTGGAGAAGCTGCCCAGAGGAAAAGGACTTGGGGATGCTGGATGAACATGAGCCAAGAGGGCCACCAGCATCCTGGCTTGTACCAGGAATGGTGTGAGGATTGTCCCTCTGTGCTGGGCACTGGGGAGGCTGCACCTCAGGGTTTGGGGTAGGAAGGTTGGGGTTTGGGAGGTAGGGAAGTTGGGGTTTGGGGTAGGGAAGTTGGGGTTTGGGAGGTAGGGAAGGTGGGGTTTGGGAGGTAGGGAAGGTGGGGTTTGGGAGGTAGGGAAGGTGGGGTTTGGGGTAGGAAAGGTGGGGTTTGGGAGGTAGGGAAGGTGGGGTTTGGGGTGGAAAGTTGGGGTTTGGGGGAAGGGAGGAGAAAACAGGAAGGGTTTGAAGGAGGAAATAAAGGTTTGGGGTGGGGAAGTTGGGTTTGGGGGAAGGGAAGTTGGCAGGTGGAAAAGCAAGGGACAAAGCCCAGCTGCAGGTCCCAGGGGGGTCTGACAGTGCTGAGCAGCTCCAGCCCGGGCAGGACCCTCAGTGTGCAGCTCTGAGCCCCTCACTGCAAGGGAGGACACTGAGGGGCTGGAGCAGGGCCAGGGAATGGAGCTGGAGAACATGAGGAGAGGCTGAGGGAACTGGGAAGGTTTGGTTTGGGGGAGGCTGAGACCTCATTGCTCTCCCTGAAAGGAGGGTGTAGGGAGGTGGGAGTTGGGCTCTTCTCCCCAGTGAATAATGGCAGGGCAGAGGAAATGGCCTGAAGCTGCACCAGGGGAGGTTCAGACTGGAGATTACAGAGTTTCTTTACCCAAAGAGTGGTTGGACAGTGGAACAGGCTGCCCAGGGAGGTGGTGGAGTCACCATCCCTGGAATGATTTGGTACTTGAGGAACGTGCTCCAGTGGTGCAGGGATTTTTTTGTGTGTGGGGATGGTTGGAGAGCTGAAGAACCAGGAGGATTCCATGAAAATGGAACCTCCTGAGAAGTCACAAAGGCCCAGCCAGGGCTGGGTGGCTCCCCCAGCATCTCAGCACCCACGGGGTGGGGGGGTCCTCATCTTGGAAATCCAATGAAAATGCACCCTCCTGAGAAGTCACAAAGGCCCAGCCAGGGCTGGGTGGCTCCCCCAGCATCTCAGCACCCACGGGGTGGGGGGGTCCTCATCTTGGAAACCCCAAACAGTTCCTCCTGGGAAACATCCAGGAGAAGGGTCTCCGCTCTCCAGCTGCATCCCACGGGCAGTGGGTGTTGGGTTTTATCCTGTGGGGAAGAGGAAGGAGTTTTGGGGGGACAGGATGAAGGTTTTGGGGGGATGGAGGGGCAAGAAGGTGGGGGAGAAACCAACATTTTAGGGAAAAGGGGGGAATAAAAGGAAGGTTTGGGGGGGAATGGGCAGGAATAGAAGGATTTGGGTGGGAAAGGAAGGTTGATGGGGAAAGGGGATAAAAGGTTTTCAAGGAAGGGGGGAAGGAAGAAGGTTTTAGGGGAAGGGAGGAGAAAACAGGTGGGGTTTGAAGGAGGAAATAAAGGTTTGGGGT